CCCTCCTCTGTGGGAGGAGTCTTTCTCAACCTCCTCAGCTTTATCCCGGCCTATAGGACGACCCCCAGCTTTAGCTCCAGTTTTTCCTGCTTAGAAAGTAGTCTTATACGAAGGAAAATACGGTAACTTAATTTAGTAAAAAAGGAAAGTTGTATTTGATTCACTTCTTGCATTTTCAGTGTTTGTTTGTTTGTTTATTCCAAAGTCTTTCATCCTTTTATTTGTAGAGATAAAAAGAAAACACAGAGGCAGGACCCTGGCCAATTGTTAATTAAAAGCTACAAACCCTTTGTCTCTTGGCAGTGTTTCCTTTAAGGTTACAAAAATATAAAAATTAGTTAAAATAGTAAATTTTATTTAAACATAATAAATTAAATATGATTCTGTTTGATATTGCTTTGCATTACCTATATTCAAACATTGCAATGAACCATGATTATTACAAATGCACACTGCATACTGAACTCATCATGGTCTGCACCAATCACAAGGCCTTTTTAAAAATATTCAGACAAAATGAAACTTGTTTACTACAAACTGTAAAACGTCTGACCATCAGAAAATTTCTGAAAGTTAGTTCTTCCTATTGTTTTGTTTTTTTTTTTTGTAGTACTGATTCATTTCTCATATTAATAGTCTTCTATAAGAAGATAATTGAAGAGGGTAACTAAAACCATGATGAATAAATGTATAACATATTAACAAATCAACATGACTAAATTAATCTAAAATAGAAGTCAGAAACTGTTGCAGACAAATATAATTTGAAAACAATAAAGGCTTTTGGAATAAATGAGCTTTCACTGCCTGGGGCCACCAGTGATGGGGCTAGGAAGGACATTTCAGTGAAATTTTGAGGCCCACTACCAAATAGTCTCTATTTCTTGAACCCACTTGCTTAACGTGTTGCACACAAAGGTTGTGTGCCTCAGAAATGAAACAGTTTATGTAAGTGGGTGGTTGATTGAATCTTGAGGTAGTTGAAAGCCATTAGGGCAGGGGTACGCAACCTTTCTTCTTTAAGGGCTGAGGGACTTCAGCTCCCAGAAGCCTCAGCCATGTTGGCCAATAGTCCCATGTTGGCCAATAGCTCCTGGGATTCTGGGAGCTGAAGTCCCTCGGTCCTTAAAGGGGAAAGGTTGTCTACCCCTGCATTAGGGCTTTAAACATGAAAATCAGCACCTTAAATTAAAGTGGGGGGGGGAATAATTAAATTCAGGTAATAAAGTATGAAATGTATTTTGTGCCATCTGAAGTTTCTAATCTAAACCATCTTTAAAGACAGTTCCATATAGAATATA